GTCTTGTGGAGCTTTAAACGGCTCTGAGTAAGTTAACAAAATAAGATAATATGATTCTGGTGCTGAAAACCTGAGTATGTGACCCTGATCATCAGTGACCTAAGTGTGCGTGTATCACTGCCCCCACTCCAGAAATCAACCAGTAGGCCTTCTTTTTGTAAATCAGCGGCAACAATTTGTGGGTGAATGAAGCCATGGGCTCAGCTTTGAAATTCAAAACTGTCTTATCTCATCCTTTGATTTTTCTGTCCCCAGACTTCTTTTTTCTATGCCCTTGCCCCTCCTGACGCTTCTGTTTCTCTAGCAACTAAGTGCTTTTGGGGTATCCGTTGTTTTCCCACGTTGTCTTTACTTTCTTTCTTCTTCACCTTCCTCCTGTTTTATGTCTTTTACTACTTTTTGGTCTTCTAATTTGGAAACTCACCTGCCTCCTCACTGATCTTATAGAGATCGTATATGTTATAGGTTCACTAGTACTGAAATGTCCCTTGAGAGCAGGGCTGACCAATATAATAGTCACTAGCAACGTGTGACTATTGAACACGTGAACTGGGCTGGTCTGAAATGAGATGTTCTTGAGGCGCCTGGCTGGCTCAGTCGGAGTATGCAACTCTTGATCTCAGGCTTGTGAGTTTGAGCCCCACATTGGGTGTAGAGATTACTAAAAATAAATAAATGAAATGAGATGTGCCTTAAGTGTAAAATGCACACAAGATTTCTAAGACTTATCATGAAGAATGCAAAATGTCTCGTTAACACATTAAAAAATGATCACATGTGGAAATGACAATATTTTGGCTACATTGGGTTAAAACAAATGTATTATTAAAATTACCTTCATCTGTTTCTTTTTACTTTTTTAATGTGACTACTAAAAAATGTAAAAGTACATATTTGACTGGCAATATAATTCTGTTGTCAGTGCTGCTTTAGGGAATCTTAATGTCTGTATTCTCTACATCTCTACAGGTGGCCTAAAGACTATATTAAAAATCCCATTTGGTTGGAATGTCCCAAAATGAATCCTCCATTTCTCTCTTCTCTATGCTGACCCACCTTCTCAAGTCATTCTCATTTTTCCTTTTCTTTAAGAGGCTAAGAGAAGGGGACATTTTTCTTTTTTGAGTCAGAAGTAGACACACCACAAATGCATTTAAATGTAATGGGGATATAAGAAAAACCGAAAGTAAGCAAGACTGCCTGTAGACAATCTGTTAACAAAACACAGTAATATATACACCTGGACAAGCATCAGCCCCACGGGGAAACCCAGCAACTTTAATTACTTCACCTACAGGCACTATACTGAGAATTGTTTCTTTCCACTTGGGTGGAAGCATGCTCTACACCAGAGTGAGCTGTCAGGAGTTTTGCTTCTCTTATCCCAGACCTGTCTTCTGAGGCTCACTTTTCTAAGTGTTATGTAAATGATAATTAATATGTGGAGCACACTGACAATAATGAGCGTAGGTTGGAGAGTCAGAGGGATCTAGGTTTGAACCTGGCATTGCCACTTGCTAACTCAATGGCCTTATGCCAGTTACTTCACCTCTGGGGCCTCACCTGCTAATCTGTAAAACAGGGATAATAGGACCATGGCTTCTGGTGGGTCAACAGCCTACCTCTGCTCCTAGCCATTTTCCACTCTCGTTCTTTGGAAACTTGCTCTAAAAGAGGATTGTGTCTCTGCCTATTGCCAGATAAATTTTATTCCTCACCTCAAACCTTGTGAAAAGAGCTTTGGAGGGACTACTGGCCTCGGCACTTGACATTTGTCCACTGCAGTTTGCATGAACTTGAGGAACTGGTCTGTGACCCAGATGGGAGAACATTCAAGGTGAAGAACTGTGTGGCTTGCAGAATGTGTCCATGGTGGGCAAGGAGAGAAAGCTGGTGAGAAAATGCCTGCACTAGAATATGTGCAGGCAAAGACATCTGTGTATTTCTTGCAGACCAAATGTAGAGAAGGAAAGCCAGCCATGAGCCGTCTTAAAGGGACTTTGCCTAGGACTACAAAAGCAGTCCCAGCTATGAGGAACTCTTTGCAGAATTCTGAAAACTGGGGCTTGCAGAGGGAACATTAGCAGGTAAGGAGATTCCTGACGCTGAGGGATCTTTGAGGAGTCCTTGGATGTGACATAGGAAAAAGGGTCAGCTTTTAAACACTTGTCAACCCACAAAAGCAACCCTAGAGGTTGAGCTTCATACTTAGAGGGTAAAGTCCTATATGCTTAAAATGGTTTGTAATTACTCCTTCTCTGGCCACATTTCAATCCTTTTCCTTCACCAGGTCTCCTAACCTTCCTCAGGTGCCAGAACTCACTTCTGGCTAAGCTGAGGTCTAGGCTGGGACCTGTCTGGGGAGCATCTGGTTTTCTGAGTTAACTCTGGTTCTGTGCAAACTGTTCCCAGGCCCCGGGGGTCCTTAGCCAGGTAAAGTTAAGATGCCCCTTATAGGAACAGTAGCAAATGAGACTCACATTATTCAACAAGAATTTGTGCCTATCTGTTGTATTAACCAGCACCGAGATGGGAAGTTCAAGCACAGTGTAGATCATGGTGGCTTCAATGTTAACTGGCCTTAGTCAGCTTAAAGACTAGCTCGAATAGGAGAGCAAGAGGATACGGTCGGTATGGGAGAACAAGATTATTGTGTGACATATCTCAGTGCATGGCAACAAATGATGAGCTGTTAAGAAAATGAGAATTAAGTGCAGTAAAAGAACTGAAGGATTATCTTGTGCCCCAAGAGTTTGGGGTGAGCTTCGTATAGGAGTCTGGACTCTAAGGACTGTCCCCAGGTGGCTATTGGAAAATTAAGGGCCTGGGAATTCCATGTGTGGAAATAGGATTGAGAGCTAACTGGGATGAGGGATTAAGGAGGAAAAAGCTAGATTGGTAGATGGGGCTGGACCATGAAGAACACAAGTGCCAAGATGATGGAGCCAAATGCCCATGGGAAGTCCATGTAGTGAAAGAATGATTTTTGAGTTAGTGTCTCAGTGCATAAAAACTTTTTTCCCTCCCATGTTGAGAGGGCCAAAGAATCCATGCCAGACTGTCTCAAGACAAGGGAGTTAGGAAGGGAGACCAGGGGCTCTTTTTCCTAAACACTAGGGACACAGTACTAATACATTTTGATTTTCTTTTTTTTTTTTTTAATGTTTTATTTATTTATTCATGAAAGTCAGAGAGAGAGAGAGAGAGAGGCAGAGGCAGAGGGAGAAGCAGGCTCCCCGCCTAGCAGGGAGCCCGATGCAGGACCCGATCCCAGAACCCTGGGATCATGACCTGAGCCGAAGGCAGACGCTTAACCATCTGAGCCACCCAGGCGCCCCAATACATTTTGATTTTCAAATAAAATCTTTATGGTATACAATTTTGAGTGCTTCAAAACTTTTTCCTCTGTGGAGGCCAGTTAGAGACTCTTGCCTAGGTACTCCTAAGGAGGAATTGAGGTTACATCTCCTATCAGACTCGACTGTCAGTGCAAGGTATCCCCAAAGTACACCCCGTGATCTGTGGACCCACATACCTACTCACCCAACCATTGAGTGCCCACCCTGTAGTGTTGCAGGCTGTGTGCCTAAGTTGCAACAATGAATAACAGTGTCCTCTCTAGTACATGTCAATGTGTTGGGCTGGGGAAGATGAAAGAATGGCAAAACTTTGATAATCGCCACAGCTGGGAGATGAACACTTGGATGTTCATTATACCATTTCTCCTGCTTTTTGTATCATTGATGATTTTCCTAATAAAGTTAGATAACTGTCCTTTTTCTCAAGAGAGAAAGTTAGATTTGACAGATGCCTTTATCACAAGGGCAAGTTCAGCATTCAAGTTAGACCCAGGGTATTAGGAAGAAAAACCCTTGGGGCAGGGTGCAGAAAGTGGTCAGGAAATGCCTCCTGGTGGAGGGTAACTGTTCTCTAAAAGTAGGTGCTTACATTGAGTAAAGAAACCAAAAACTACAGGTCTCACTTGGCCTTAGGTTATTTTGAGAAGGGCTAACAGATCAGGGTCAAGAGTGAGAAACTGGCTTCTACCACATTCCATCCCCTTATCTACCTTTTCTTCCTTCCCTTTTGCTTCAGGTCAGCTGAGGTAAGTAGATATTTAGATTTTGGGCCACATCTGAGCACCTACTGTATGTCGGGTGCTGTACATAGGCTTTTGGGTTAGATTCGGATTATACCATTTTATAGAAGATGGAACCGGGAGTCTGGAAATTCCTCAAGGTGTGGGGAACATGACACAAGCAGGTAAGGGCAGTTGGGGAACCCAGTCCTTCCAACCCCAAATCGTGGAAAATAGGTCCGAAAGTTGGGATCAGGCAGAGGTAGCTTCGTGGCTTTAAACAGTCACCGGGCCTCACTGAGCTGACTCAATTTCTCCATCTATAAAAAGGGTACGGTAAAACCGTGTAAGGTTTATTTATTTTTTAAGGATCGGAGACCTTTAAACTGTCAAGATCCTGGCACGAAGGGAGGGCTCCATAAATGGCAGCCATCATTCTTGGACAAGTGCCGGCACATCCTCCCGCCGGGTCCCTCGGGACAGGCCAGGCCCGCCCCCCCGCGGCTCCGGTCTCGCAGTGCTCGCGGCAGGTGGCCCAGCATCTAGGTGCCCACGCCCCGAAGCGAGCGAGGAGCACGGGTGGTGGGTTGGATGACCAGGGTCTCCCCTGGAGGATCCCCTCCCTCCCTCCACACGCCCGGCGCAGGTGAGGTTTCCGGCCCAGGCCACCGGGACAGCGACCCCGAGGAGAGATCGAGGCGGACAGCGCGGCCCGCGGCCGGGAGAGGGGTCCTGCGGGCGCCCCCTCCCTAGCCCAGTTTCACCCCAGGACCAACCCCGGCGCCGGGGCCCGCGGGCTGCGCGCTCTGCGGCTGCGAAAACCCGGAGAGGCGGATCGGAGCGCGCTCGCAGCCAACTCCTCCGCGGTCCGGCCGCCGAGCTGGGCATGCTCAGTGCGGCCGCCGCGCCGCCGTCCGCCAACTCGGAAGCTCGCGCTCCCGGGCCGTGGGGGCGAGAACGCCGGCGGCGGCGAGCCGGCGTCGCCCGCCGCCCCCAGACAGTGGCAAACTTCGCGGTGTCCCCGGAGCTCGCCTGGACGAGACTGATACCTCACAAATAAAATCCAATCCAATCCCCCCCCATCCCAGCCCGAATCATGGAGGCTGTGGCCGCCCGAGTGCCGCCGCCGCCGCCGGCCCCTGCCCACTAGCCGGGGACCAACAGGTAAACTGTTAGGGGGGTGGGGGTGGGAGGAGGAGCTGCGGCGGGGGGGAGGCGGGGGGCTGGAGGAGCCCGAGACGTCCGCGGGTTGGCTGCCCCCGTCGGCGCTCACAGCCAGCCCTCCTCCCCCTTTCCCCCAGCCTCTGGAGGGGCAGCAAAGGGTTAAATCGGCCCCGCGCCACCGTGAGCACGGCCCCCTCCAGCCGCCGCGACCGCCAGCAGCGCGCCTCGGCGCCTGCCCGGAGCCGCCGAGGGGACCGGAGCCTCGGATGCGCCACCGGAGCCCGGCAGGCGTCTAGGAGGCACCGGCCGCTTCTCCCCGTCCGCATCCCTGCCCCCTCCCCCCCCCCAGGCCTCTCTCCCTCCGCCCCGGCCGGGTCCGCGCCCAGGTGGCGGGGTCTGCGGGGCGCGTGGCGGCGCGGGAAGGATCCCTGCCGTGGAAGAGGGGCGGGGGCGGGCTTCTCCGCAGTCTCTTCCCGGGGCTGGGGGGCCACCCTCACCTTGGGTGAGCACTTGAGCCACCCGCCTAGGCGCCAAGAAAAGTTTTTTTCCCCCCCCCGTGCCCCTCCCCCACCCCCTGTCCGGCTGGGGTGGATTTGGGTCCATTGGTGAAAAAAGTCACACGTTCCCATCAGCTGCTCCTCCCCCTGGGGACAGGGTTGGGGGGGACGGGAGGCTGGCGCCGCGGGAGACCCAGGCGGACCTCCAGCTCCTCCGCCGCCGCCACCGGAGCGGTGCGTCCCGGGGCTGAAGCGCAGCCGGGTGCCCGGCGAAGACTGCCCCCATCAGTGCGTGTCTGCGTGCCGGGCAGCGGCTGCATCCAACCTGCTTTATTCCTGCCTGCAGCGCCACAGTGAGCGAGCGAGGAGGGGGAGAGAGGGAGTCTGTCTGCAAAGTGCTGCTCCCTGGTGCTCAGAGGCGGCTGCTCCAGCTCCAACTCTCATTCATTTCGCCGGTTAACATGAGAGATCATGGCTGCCTTCGGGCTTCTCAGCTATGAGCAGAGACCGCTGAAACGCCCCCGGCTCGGGCCGCCCGACGTCTACCCGCAGGACCCCAAGCAGAAGGAGGTAAGGGCGCCGGCGGCCTCCCCCGCAGCTGGGGCCGCGCTCCGCAGCGCGGACCCGGGGCCAAGTTGGCCCAGCGGGCATCGCCGGCGCTGCGGGGAGAGGGCTCGGGAGGGGGCCAGGCGGCGGTGACCGGGCTGGGGGCTAGGGGACCCCCGGCGGCGGAGACCCAGCGGCTGTCAGTCTCTGCGCTCCACTGGGGTGCTCGCTCTCCGGGTGCCGGGTCGCTTCCCCGTTACCGGGCCTTGCACGGCGCTGCCGACTGCTTCACCGGGTGCCTCTTTGCCGAAACCCTCTTGCTTGCTCTCCCCCGCTTCTGCCTGCTTTATTTTTCTCCCCGCTGCTTCGGTAAATCCTCGTAAACTTTTTGAAAAATGTTGGAATGCAGTGCATCCGACACAGGTCTTACGTTTTGCGCCAGCTGAGCAGGGACGGGGGGTGGGGTGAGGGGGAGACCTTTTCTGTTAAAATTTTCCAGTTTGGAGTGGAAGTCGTTTTTATCGAGGTGATAAATATTTAGCTCTTTGAACGTACTTATTTCTGTATCCCCTTTTCCCTTTAAAAAGAATCAATATTAAGGGGAGCCTGATTTTCGTCCCTAGAGGCGATTGGTTTAATTGCTGGAGGCTGTTTTGTATATGTAAAAGCAGATGGGTTACCTTGGAAGGGAAATAAGTCCCGAGATTGCTTATTTCTTTGAATGAAATTGGAGAAAGCTTGACTCTTGCCTTAGGTACACTAGCTTCAATGTCTAGAGGAACCATGGCATTTTATAGCGATTTATGTGTTTGTCAGTAGTTAAGAAGTAATTATGTAACAACTCTCCAGTTATAATGATCACCCTTGGCTACACAATTTGCCCAGGGATTTGCCTCTTTTTTTTTTTTTTTTTTTTAGATCACCTGCTACCCAGCTGTGCTTTCTGAGTTTGCCAGCTGCAGTCCACCCATCCTCTTGTTTTCTTCAGCAAAAAAAAACGAAGTGAGCATATTGCACAACTTCTTGCTGGGAATTTAAAAACTCTCTATTAAAAGTTTGGAGGCCCACTGACATCACAGAAAGGACTTTGTAAAGAAGGCAGGAGGGGTCCTTAAGACTTCCCTTTTGATAAAGCTATCTATTTCAGTAATAGAGGAAGAATGCTTGTTTTGGTTAAACTTCTGTTAATGTTTTTAAAAATTAAGGAGTGGCAATTCATTCCTTTTAGAGGCTTAAGCACATAAACATGTTTGAGCATCCGTGGAGTAATTCAGATTGAAGCGGGGAAGGTTTTACAGGTGGTTCTCAGTTGAGGCTTAACATGAGGATGGATTGATGAGATCTTGCAGATTTTTTCCCCACCTATTTCTCTCTGGGCTATTTCCACCCAGATTAAAGTGAATTGTTAAGGACTAGAAATAACAGACACTAACGACCCACTGTAACAAAGTTAATAACTTAAAAATTAGTGTCAGGAAATTTTTAAAAGTTTTGGTGGGGACAAGGATACTGATTGGCTCATCTTTCTCATCTTTTAGTGTCTTGCCACATTTTCCAGAGGGAAGTGTAATTAATAGCATCTCCCTAGTTACGGGATGGTCGTCCGGGTTGCCACGTGGGCTTATTTAGTTTTTATTCCTCAGGTCAGCACTCATTCAGGATTGGGGCCTCTCCGATTGGAAAAAATAATTTTGGATTTTAGGATTTTGCAACAGTTTACAGAATTCTAAAACTGGAAGTGACCTTAGAGCCTATTTTATATAACTTCCTTTTGACAAAGGGAAACTGAGGCCCAAGAAAGCTTTACCTGACTTAATCAAAGTGTGTGATAAAGAAGCAGAGGATTTGGACCACCAAACCAGTATTTATGTCAAGACCAATACTGTGTTAAGAAGGATTTATGCTAAATTGTGGTGTTCTGCTATTCCCTATCCCCCAAGGCAGCCAATATTTCATCCCTCTGGAGCACAAAGTTATGTGTGACTGTAGCCAAATTTGAGAACAATATGGAACCAGGTGCTTGGCTGTTCTTGGGTGGTGGTGTGGTGAGCAGTGTTTCACAAGCTTCAGTTATTTATGTTCTGCCTTAAGTTCTCCCCTCTCCCTGTATCAGCTGTACTTTTATTCTAATGTTTTCTTTAACTTTTAAGAAACTTTGTTTCCTGGGCAGCAATACGCATGAAGTCATGGATTCACATATACACATGTAATGCAAAAGTTAGAATCCGATTGTGTGTATGTATAAAATTTTTATCTAGCTGATAATTACACGCACATAGGGCTATACATAATAGAACCAGACTGTAACTATTAAAACTTTAAAAAGTTTATCTGTGCATTTAAAACCATTGTTGTGTTCCATCACAGATCTTTGTCCCACATTATGGGAAATGCTGATTTAATGGAGGAAGTATGGGCTTTGAAATTGGGCAGACCTGGATTTGGATTCTGGTTCAGCCTCTTCGCAGTGGTGTGGCCTTGGGCAAGTTGCACAACTTCTCATTTGTAAATTAGTATAATTGTTCTATTCAGAAAATTTTGAGAACCCTGGTTTGAAAGCATTACATTTGTGTGAGAAAAACCCTCCTCCTGGTGCAAGCTATTCTTATTACTATAGCTGTGATTCTTATTATTGTTAGCCAGCGTTAGTAGTGTCCTGGAAAACAGCTCCTGGGAGTTAGGCTGGAACCCTTGAATGAAGATCCCCTATGGAGAAGGAGGGGAGGGTGGGGAGAGCTGGAAACTTTAACCTGCTTGATCAATTGACTGTATTCTTTTTGAGAGCTTGCCCGTGCATTAGCACTCAACGGGATTTTTTTTTTTTTAAATATATTGTGTTATAATACTTTGTCTTCTGACTGTCCTCAAGCCTTGAAAACAGAATCAGAAAACTGAGAGTCACCCTTGATTTCCCCTTATTCCTTGTACTCCATAATACGTGTTTCAGGGTATCTTGTCTGGTCCAGTTCCCACATATATTTCCAATCCGTCCACTGCTCCCCAGTTTCACTAATATGCTCGACTTCCTTTCTGCTTCAGGCTGACTTTTCTCTGCCCCTGGGCTTCTATACATGCTGATCTGTCTGCCTGGACACTTGTCTGCCTATCCATTTCACTCCACTTTTCTCACCTTAGTCTGTGGTGAGGAGGGTAGCTCCGGAGCCAGTCTGCCTGGGTTTGAAACTTGGCTCTCCTGTTTATATATCCTTATTCTCCCCATCCCTCAGTATCCGCTCTTATAGTTCCATCAGGCTATTGGAACAGTACATGAGTAATGCATATAAAGCATTTAGACTGACTAGAGTCTGGCATGGATTCAACACCCAAATACTGTCAGGGCCTGTCTCTTCATCCTTCAGGTCTCAGCCCAGCGACCTTCTCAGAGGTCTTTCTAGTATAACCATATAATTTGTAATTTTGTATTTATTTGCATGCTGCCATCCCCCACTAAAGGGTCAGTTTTGTGAGAGCAGGGATGAGCGCTGTTTTTAGGCATCACTAAAGTACCTGCCACCTAGTGTAGTTAGTTCCTGGGATGCTGAGGGCATGAATACTTGTTGGAATGTATGAATGAAAGTGGGAATGAATGAATAAAAAGGAAATCTGATGATTGAAGGGTGTTAGGGAAAGTCTAGGTTAAGGCAGAAATTATCCTTGACATCCAACCTTGGAGGTGACAAGGCTGAAAGTTAAACCCTAGAAGTAGGAAGGAAGAGGAGTTTACCCTAGGGTAGAAGAGGCCTAAACAGGTGAATAATAAATATTTTCAGGAAGTCAGATTAGTTAGAAAAATAGTTTGGGCCAATAATGAGATTTCCAGCCGAGAGTCCCATCAGTAGAGCGGATGGATGGCTGGGTGTGCAGCGCAGAGGCTGCCCAAGGACAAGTCCAGTAAACCTTGGGAGGGTAGTGGAAGGAATGGGGGTGGGGGTTGGAGAAGGTGGGTGGGGTAGTGGTGGTGGTGGTTGTGTCTGCATGTGGATAACCCAGACAGGTGTTCTCAAACTTGACCTATATCACCTGTAGAGCTTGTTAAAAACAAATGGTTTTTCAGATTCAGTAGTTAGGAGCCAGGGCCCCATAATTTGCATTTCTAACAAGATGCCTGGTGATCTGATGGCTGCTGGTCCAGGGCCCCACTTTAAGGACGCTGACCTAGAGAGAAGGCATCCAGTTCTGTAGACGCTAGAGAGTTCTGCCTGACGTAGGTAGGGCAGCTCTAGGCATCTGTATATGGCTGAGTTGGCAGTAGTTTGGTTTAGCAGCCAACTCAGCCAGGGTGTGGTGGGCTTTTCCCAGAAGCTGTGCCCTCTCTTAGCTCAGATCAAAGGGAATGAGTTAGGAAGTCTCAGCCCCCCTCTAATGGCTTTCTATTACACTTGGAATAACAGATTCCTTACCTAGGCCTTCACGGCCCTACCATCTGGCCCTTGTTCACGTCTACAACCACCACCGGTAGCCAGGCCACCTGGCTTTGAGTTCTGGCTTCATCACTTACTGCCTTTTTGACTCAGATCTCACTTGTGTAATGGGGTTCATATTTGTTCCTACCACATGGGGTTGCTGGAAAGATGAAATGAGATTTGAACCATGTCTGGCACACAGACAGTGCTCTGTTCAGGTAACTACTATTGGGATAACCCCTCCGTTGTTCAAGGGTCCCAGGACTTCCAATTGTATTTATAATATCCATAAGACCCTGTCTTTGAGATCTGGCCTCTGGGATTTGAGTGATCCCTTCCAGACTTGCTGCTCATTCCCTTTCGGGCTGTGCGGTAGGACCAGTGGCCACTTCTCTCTCTTTCCAGTAGGCTCAGCTCTTTGTGTCTATGTTCCTGTCCCTGACTGCCCCTGTAGGTATGTTTCCTGTCATTTGGCTCTTAGGGACTCCCTCTCAAGAAAGCCTTCCTTGTAACCCATCTTTCCTTATCCTTGCTAGCTCATTATCTTGTGTTAGTAGGTTTTGGCAGTGCTGGTCACTGAAATGGTTGCTGATTTTCTCCATGATTTTCCACACTAGAATG